TAAGGCTAAATTTCGAATTTCTGGTCAAGTTTTACAGGCCGATGGTACTAGCTATCCTAAAGGTTCAAATGTAATGTTAGTTGACAATTTTCCTGGATTTTTGTTCGGGTCAATTTCTGTTAAAGAACATGGTAAAGAATTAGATAGAATTGATAATGTTGGTAGATGTGGTTTGATTAAAGGTACAGTTAGTTATTCTGCAAATGAGAGTGGACCAACAATAAATAATGGATTTCAATCAAGATTTAGTGGTGGTGGTTGTTTTAGTGTTACTGGTAAATTGTCTAATTTGTGTTTAGGATTTTTTAAAGATATTGTATATCCAGTATATAGAGGAGGTTTTGAAATAAGTTTTTTAAGACGTAGTGACGATGATGCTTTATTTAGAGGTAAGAATGATAAAACAGATGTGGTGCCTGGAGCTGGAAAAATTGTTATTGAGAAATTACTTATTAGGATACCAATTGTGACTTATAGTGATATGAATAGAGTTAAATTGGTAAATGAATTAGTTTCATTGTCAGAGAGAAACGAGTATATTTTTAGTTTCAAATCATGGCAGTGCATTGAAGAAAGTAATATTACTGGTAAAACACTACAAAAAGATATAACAAATATGTATAGAAATGTCCATAATCCTTTATTTGCTATCATAGCTTTTCAAACAGGTAGGTTAAATAACCAATTGACAGACCCAGTAGAATTTAGTAATTGTAATTTGAAAAATATTTGGTTGGGTGTTGATAGTATGAGATATCCAGAAGAATTATTAAACTTAGATTTTAAAAAAGAAGAATTTGATACTGCTTATGATATGCTAATGGATTATAAGAATGTTTATAATAGAGTACACAGAGACTTATCTTTAATGTATATAACTCCAACACAGCTTAAGGATACCAGACCATACTTTGTAATTGATATGAGTAGACAACCATCACAAATTTCTGGATCTAAAACAAGTATTTTCTTACTTGCAGATTTTAATGAGGATGTGCCCGCTAATACCATTTGTTATATTTGTTTAGTTTCTGGTACCGAATTTTTCTATGATCTTACTAATAATACAATTAGAGAAAATATATAAAATATACATCTTAAATAAATGGACTATTGCAAAAATTGTAAATCTAAAACTAGGAGTATAGGTATTCCTGAATTTATTAAAAAAAATAATAAATATAGGAGGTTATCAGTATGTAAAATATGTAATACAAATAAGAATAATATATCAAAACCACCAGAACTTATAGAAGCTTATGAATTATTTAAACCAGCTAGAAAACATTTTGAAACAAGACATTTTATACAAAGAGGTATAAATGATACTTGGCAAGCTGATTTATACTGTTTTTATAGACCGAAATCTAAAGATAGTGATCCCAATTATAATTTAAGAAATAAGCATAATGAAGTTAAAGTTAAAGATAATCATAAGGCATTGTATAAAGCTAATAATGGTTTTAAATATATTCTTAATGTTATTGATACATTTTCTAAAAAAGTTTATTCTGTAGCTTTGAAAACAAAAAGTGGATTGGAAGTATCTGAAGCATTTTCACAAATATTTAAACATAGTGTACCGAAAAAATTACATGTAGATAAAGGTAAAGAATTTTATAATAAAGATTTAAAACAATTACTAAACAAATATAACATTACAATGTATAGTACAGGCACCGATAAGAAGGCATCTATGGTTGAACGTTTTAACAGAACATTAGGTGATAAGTTGAAAAAATTACTTTATTTAAATAATGTATGGATTACTGAGTTGCCAAGGATTATTAAGACATATAATAATACATACCATAGAACAATAAAAATGAAACCTGCTGATGTAAGTAAGAAAAACGAGAAAGACTTACTTTCTACTGTTTATAACTATGATATTAGTAATTCTGTACCTAAATTTGAAATAAATGATAGAGTTAGATTATCTTCAATAAATGATGTTTATCGAAATAAATTAAAAACGAATTGGTCTAAAGAAATATTTATAATTGAAGAAGTTTTTAAATCAAATGTAAATTATTATAAAATTTATGATATCAATGGTACTGTTTATGAACAAGAAATTACGTTATCACTATTATAACCTCACATTATTGTTATCATAACAGCAACAAGTTCCAATTCTATGATATCTCTTTGATAGTGCCACGACACATAATATTATTATTTTTTTTTTTTTTTGTAATTTTGTAATTTTTATATTTTTTGTACATTTTTTTTAATTTACCAATTTAATTTTATTCAATCAATTATTTTACTTATAAATGAACAAACTATATTGCTTTAAGTGTAAACAGAAAACAGATAATGTTAATCCACTTATAATAAAAACTAGTCACAATAGGAAAAGATTGTCTGCAAAATGTAAGCTATGTAAAAAATTAAAGTCAGGATTTATTAAGTAAGTAAATTTAGTATTTAAATATTTCATAATATTGTTGAATCAGATAATGTAAGTTATAATATTCTTTTTTTATTTTTAATCTATTTAACAGTAAGTCTTTTACAGAATCTACGCCTTCAATTTTGAATTTTGTAATAATAATATTTACTATATTTTGAAGTTTAATTAATTTGCTTTCTTCTCCCCAGATATATATTGCATATTGCAAATGAGATTGAATTAAAGCTGAGTATACTGATTTCTTAAAATTTTCTTCTTTTAAAATATAAAATATTGATAATTTTCTTTTGTTATTTATTTTATTAACTATTTCATTAAATTGGGTGTCAAATGTTAATTTTTGATCAATTATGCATCCTAAATATTTATATTCGTACACCTTTTCTAACTTAGGACAACAACATTTATTAAAATTTGTACAACAAAAGTCATGAATAGTTAATTCATTATATGAATTCGCTTCAGAAAAATCAATGTATTGTGTTTTAGAAATATTTAGAGATAATTTATTTTCAACAAGCCAATTTCTGATTTTAATTAAATCTTCATTAGCTTTTTGATATAATTCAGCATGGTTATCAGCTTCAACAACCAATGCTGTATCATCTGCAAATAATACTAATTCACCATTGACTTTAATTTCAGCTAAACTATTAATATAAATGTTAAACAACAAAGGACCTAGGGAGTAGGGAGGTCCCTAAGGGTACTCCACAATTAATAGTTTTTGTTTCAGATAAGTTTGATTTGATTTTTGTACAACATGTTCTATTATTAAGATATGATTTTAATAGTTCTAGGGTGTTTCTCTTATACCCATATTATCTAATTTTCTTATTAATATACTATGGTCTACTGTATCAAATGCTTTTTTTAAATCAAAGAAAATTACCATTTTATATTTTTTTTCCGTTCTAATTGATGACATTAATTTTGAGATTGCTTTTTCTGTATTTTTACCTTCTCTGAAACCAAATTGTGATTTAGAAAGCATTTTATTTTTTTCTATAAAGTTAATTATCCTTGAGTAAATACACTTTTCAAAAATTTTAGAGACATTTGAAATTAAAGAGATCGGACGATAATTATTGACATCTTCTTTTGGTAATCCATTTTTTTTATATATAGGAGTTATTATTGCATGTTTTAATTGTTGAGGAAAATAATTTGTATTAATAAATAGATTAAATAATTCTGCCATTGAAGCGGCTATTGAGTCTTTATTATCTTTTAAACTTTTAACATCTACATTATCTGAGCCTGGTGATGTCCTATTTTTTAATGAACTAATTTTAAATTTTATTTCTTCATCACAAATTGGTTCAAAGAAGATAGAATTTGGATTAATATTAGTTTTTGATTTGGTTTTTGAGAAAGGAATTTTTGAAGCCAGATCGCTACCAATATTAACGAAATGGTCATTTAATTTATTACACTCAATTTCTATATCATTTTTATATTTATTGATTTTTAAGAAATAATATAACAACTCCCATTGTTTTTGTGGATTATTTTTATTAATTACATTGATTTGTTCTTTAAAGTAATTTTCTCTTGCTATTTTAATTAAATGTACTATTTTTGATTTATATGCTTTAGCTAATTCTTTATTGTGCTTTAATTCATTTTTTAATAGATTATTTCTAACTTTAATTGACTCAATTATACCTAGAGTAATCCACGGATTTCTACTTCTAGCCGGAATAAAATAATTATCAGATTTATTTAATACATTACTTATATATTTATTGCATTCTTCATCCACGTATTGTATTCATGTGTTGAAGTCTCCGTAGTTGTTGTTTCTTGTTGGTGATTCATTGGCTGTAGTCGAAATGTCGTTCAAAAGTTTTCAGCATCAATTCACTGTCATCACAATTTAGACGACTAAAAACGGCTACAGTATGCCCACGAATGAGTCAAAACTCAATAGTGGCTTGTATTTATAACCTCGAAAAACATGATGCAATATTACACAATAATGACGTAATCTAGAGAAGAAGAACCTTCTAGAATGTTCTATTTGACGTCAGAAAACTTGATATTACGAATTAATACCACTATCCTATAAACGGAATAGCTAATGGTGTACTGTAATATACTTTTTCATATAATATATAAAAAAACACGAAAATACTTTGGTTGTTATTTGTTTACAATTTATTTATGATTGGCGGAAAATTTATATTTTTAACAGAATTTAAAGTATTAAAATATTTATTGCAATAACTCGAAATATCTGTTATAATATATCTAAATTATTGTAATATCTATAAATAACTCTAAATATCTGTAATGCTTAAAATATTTATTGTAATATGTCTACATTTTTGTAAATTTTCATTTCTGTGATATTTAACAGATTTTATGTTGAAAATAATTTTTGGTAAGTGGGGTGAACGTACCTTGCTTACTACTGTCCAAATATAAAGGTAATTTTATTGAGTTATTAGAAACATTTGCAGATGATTCTATGAAAATAAGGCTAAAATCAAGATATGGACATTATACCTCACCAGAATACCAAAATGTTCTAATTCATATTCTTGGTTGCTGCACCAGAAAAAATATTCTGAACAAAATGTCTCCATTTAGTATATATTCAATTTTAGTTGACAAAACTAAAGATTCTTCTAAAAAAGAGCAGTTAAGTTTTCTTATACGATTTGTAGATATAAACTTCAATATATTTGAGAAAGCACTAGGTTGCAGTCACATGAAAAAATCTGATGCTACTTCTCTAGCTCAAGAAATAGTAAAACCTATTCAGGAGAATAATTTGGACATCAATAAATGCATTGCTCAATGTTATGATGGTGCTTCAGTGATGAGTGGTGTTTATTCGGGGGTGCAACAAAAAATCAGCGAAATTGTTCCTCATGCAGTGTACATTCATTGTTATGCCCACCGATTAAATCTTTGTTTGGTTGACTGTATACAAACTGTGCCCTTAATAGTTGATTTTTTTGATACTATTCAAAATCTCTATAAATACTTGATGAATAGTCAAACTCGTTATGAACTTTTCATAGAAGCTCAAAAAAATAAAAATGTTTAAGTAATTCATTTAGAAAGGCTGGTTGATACTCGTTGGTATTATTAGTAGACTTCATTGCAAAAAGTAAGAAGCCGATATACTGTGATTATCGAAGTATTAACTTTTCTGACTAAACATTTCGATCAAACAGTTAGAGCAGTTGGACTACTCAAAATATTATCTACTTTTAAATTTATTATGATTTTAGAGGTAATGGTTAGTGTCCTAGAATGTATACACTGTTATCATGTGAACTTCAAAATTCCAATATTATTCTATCAAAGGCCATGTTATTAGTGAAATCTTCAAAGAATAATATCTTAAAATTACGCTGTGAAGAATCGTGGTTGAAATTTCATCATAAAGCAACTGATATAGCAATTTGTAATGGCATAAAAACCCAAACTCATAGTAAACATGAGAAAAGAAAACAATTCTTTACATTACTTTCAATAAACATTTGAATGATTATTTTGTACAATCAACTTTGGGAAAAGCTAGATGTAAAGAAAAAGATGTTTCAAGTTTAAAAGTTAAACTGTTGTATCAAGTAATCGATAGGTATTTATTACATACTTGATTATTGATTTCATCAAATTATTTAATTCATAAAATTATGTGTCATTTTTTAGGATTGTAACGCAGAGTTAGATGAACGTTTTTCCAAAAATGAACAAGTTGTTGATATATTTAATGTATTTGACTATACAAATGCTGACTTCCTTAATGCAGAATGTGTTGCTGCTAATAAGTTCTTAGACCACTACAAAGGTTTTCAAATTAATTCTTTAAGCCTGCCATCCGAGTTTTCTTCAATTAAGGCAACATTAGAACTAGAAAACATATCCCAATTTAAATTAGAATTAATATTCAATATTGTTTTAAATGTACCATTTGCATTTCCTGAAACAATAAAAATATTGTCTATAATGTTAACATTACCAGTGACAACTGCATCAAATGAGCGCTTTTTTTCTTCATTCAAAAGGACAAAAAATTTCTTAAGAACATCAATTGGTGATGAAAGATTGAACGATTTAATGGTTCTTGGAGTTGAAACTGAAGAGACAAAACAAATCAATTTGAATTATGCAATTGATGATTTTGCAAAAATGAAAGACAGAAGGTATCCACTATACTAATAGTTAACAATAAACATAAATAAATATGTTTTGTTAATATGTATTATTATGTCATTATTAAATAATATAAATGTTTGGTGCTTATAAAATAACTTATGTGTGATTAAAGATTTCAGAATTTGTTTTCCTTCGTGTCTATAAATATGAAATAATGATATCCAAAATAAAATCATGTACGTTTAACTGTGTATTATTAGGTGTACAATATTTGTATTATAATATTATGAAATGATTTGATTGATGAAAAATAATACTTTCGAGCGGAGCGAGAAAAAAATTTTTTTTTCTAATAATTATAGTGTATATATTGGCCTGCTGAAAATTGTTTTGGCCTGCCCCGATGTTAGCATACCTTTCAAAAAGTTGAAATGACGCCCCTGCTACATATACTAACGAAATACAATTAAAAAAAAATAACTTTTTGATAATCTTATGGTTTAAAACTGGTAATTTTAGGATTTATGACCTTAAAACTCTAGCCTACATCACTTTTACATACATAATATATTAATAGTTATAGCACTGAAGTTTTGCGCAGAATTGTTTTATCAAAATAAATGATATATTATTACAATATTACTTTCAAATTAAATTTTAAATAGGTATATCCTTAAATTCTATATTTTTTAAGGTAATATGAATATTATGGAAAATAGTCAAATAACAGATGATTTAAAGAAAAATGAAATGTTTGAATATGCAAGTTCAACTAAATGTTATGTTGAAAAAGTCACAGCAATTAATCAATGTTTGCAGGAGAAATGTATATAAATATTGTGGTACCTAACTAAGTATAATAACTACTCAATTATGCTAGCTAAACGCTAATAACGCGTATAAGATCCGCGGGGAGCGCTGACGGCACTCCGCGTTTCTTCCATGACGACCAATCACAATACTTCCCGCGCGTTCGCTATAAATTCCGCTCGCTTACCCCCCATTTTCCTTATCGACGAATATTTTCGAACATTATTATTATTATTAAAAAAAATTCCGTGTTTTTCAATTTTTTGACGTGATAATAACGTCTTATAAATCGATTACCCCGCGACCGTCGGGCGGAGTGGGGGGGCCCATTAAACGAGTAATTATTTTTGACGAAGTATAACTTAGCCGGTAATCGACTTAGAGACCCCGTACCAATGGGCATCTCAATTTTTTAGGCCCCAGATGAATTTTCAACATTAGGGAACCAAAGCCCCCACCCCCCCACATTTTGAGTTGAGTATAACTCGGCCGGAATTCAAGTTAAAGACCTCGGACCAAGGGGGAACCCATTCTTTTTATGAATACTACCGTTTTCCGCTTTAGGGAACGGGGGCACCTCCTCCCCCCCTTTTTGGATTTTGCTTTTTTGATGGATTTTGGTCCGGGAGAGTACTAACACCCACCTCGCCAAGGGGAAACTCGGGGTTTTGAGTTTTTGATAGGATTTATTGGGATTTTCTTAAATATTGTTTTTATTGATAAGGAAAGTGATAAGAATTTTATTTTATCGCCGCGAGCACGGCGACGCGGCTTAAGAGTCATACATTTGCCTCGAAATTTCATCTGAGTAGGTGGCTAGGTTGGTTAGGCGTTATTATAGGTGACTCGAGGGTCGTGGTTTCGAAACCGCCGCCAGGACAATAGATAATTTTCGGCGCCCGTGATAAATGGAATTTTTTTTTTCGCGTTTTTTTTTGGTCACATTAATCATGTGTTCCGATTTTTTTCAAAATTCGCGTTATTATAATATTATATATATCGGTATTTATATATATTTATTTTGCAAAAAAATAATAATTAACATTTAATTAATACTTGATTTTACCGTGACCAACCTACAATATAATTGTAATGTAGTACCTACTTGATATATTACAGTTTTTAGGTGATTCCGATTGGGTTAAATATTGCTACAGATTATAAATACTGTTTAATACGATATTAATAAACTATATTAAAAAATAGTACGACTATATGACTGCTCCATTTGCCGTTTTTTTTCGAAAATTCGAGTTTCAGCCCCTTTCGGTCGTATCACCCTCCCCGTCGACGACTTATTCGAGTTCCCCGCTAAATTTATAGCCGGCGTGCGGCCCTACTTTTCCACAGACGAGTCCCCGGGAGGAGAGGCGTCGCGGAAACGAGAGTAGGTACCGTGTAGGTATCGCTATATACAGGCATAAATACATGCGTCGAGGCGTTTTTTGGGGAGCCGTCACTGCGTTATCTTCCTCCTTATCACTTTTCACGGTTTTGACCATTTTTCACAATTTTTTTTCAACATTTTTGAGGTTTACCCCCCTCGGGTGCCACCGGGAGGGCCCGTTTGGACCTTATTCGCGTTCCTCGGTAAATTTATAGACGGCGCGCTGTCCTACTTAATTCCCGGCCGGCCCGCGGCGGCAGATATCGCGTGCGATACGAGCGCCGCCGTCGCGCGTGTTTTTTGCCGTATTTTTTAAAAAATTCGAGTTTTATCCCCTTTCGGTCGTATCGCCCTCCCCGTTTGGATCTTATTCGCGTTCCCCGCTAAATTTATAACCGGCGCGAGGCCCTACTTTTTCAAAAACGAGTCCCGGCAAGGAGCGGCGTCGCTTAAACGAGAGTAGGTACCGTGTATGGTATCGCTATATACAGGCATAAATACATGCGTCTCGAGTTTCGATTTTCTTCGCGAATCTCGCGACGGTCGTCCGCTCACCGACGCTGTCGGATCGCCCGCTCAAACTCCCTTTGAACCTCTTCTAAACGGCGTTCGCCTTTCGCGGGGACGGCAACGCGGCTTAAGAGTCATAGATTTGACTCAGGTTTTCATCTCAGTAGGTAGTTAGGTAGGTTAGGCGTTAGAAGAGGTGACTCGAGGGTCGTGGGTTCAAACCCCCCGGCCCCCGGGAATATACGATAATTTGCGACCAAATTAATTTTTTTTTCGTCGTTCGCTATCACTTCCGTCTTATCATTTTTAACGTAAATGTTCCGATTTTTTTCAAAATTCGAGTTTTAACGCCTCCACTGACTTCGGACCTCCCCGTTGAAGACTTACTCGCGTTCCCCGTCAAATGATTTAGCAGAGCGGACAGTGTCTTTATTACTATACATGGGCGTGAATATATTATGCGACGAAGAGTTCGATTTCTTTTTTTTTCAAAAATTTGAGTTTTAGCTCCTTTTGGTCGTATAACCTTCCCCGTTTGAATCTTATTCGCGTTCCCCGCTAAATTTATAGCCGGTGCGCGGCCCTACTTTTTCACAGATGAGTCCCGGGAAAGAGCGGCGTCGCGGAAAAGGAAGTAGGTAACGTGTAAGTATCGCTATATACAGCAATAAATACATGCGTCGCGTAATTTTTTGCTGTTTTTTTCTAAAATTCGTTTCTTGGCCCGTTTTAGTGGTATTACCCTGCCTGTTTGGATGTTATTGGCATTCCCCGCTAAATTTATAAGCCGCCGTCGTCAGTACTTCGCTCGAGTCGTGTTCCGCGGAGGAGATCGGGGAGCGGACAGTGTTGTTATTACTTTATACGGAAATGAAAATATGCGACAAAAAGTTCGATTTTTTCATACACACTTTCATACACATAATACATAAGTCATAACACAATGATGCACCATTATAATTATGCAATTATAATTACTAAATAATTTAAAACATCATATGACATTTAATAAATTGGTAGGTAGGTACATCATATATTATATACAGACATACAATATAACAGCAAAATATTATGATAGTAGGTACTTACGAAGATAAGTGCCAAAAAATTGTATAGTGTATTCATTTATACATACCTACGTTTAATATGATAGTATTACATTTCAATAAAATTTGTTATTCACCAATATAATTATCTATTTGTTAATTTGATTTAATTCTCATAATTAAATAAAT